GGGGGGGGGGGGGGGGGGGGGGGGGGGGGGGGGGGGAAAGAGGATCCAAACTCAAGCAGTCCAAATCCAGAGACCAAGGGCTTTACCTGATGATTTGCTGTATTCTAAGAACCAGCAGGTTCAGAAACTTCAGCTGAATGAACGAACGGGGTATGGATGTGCTAGGAGAAAACCCTGAATCAGCCCTAGATGAACTCTACTTTTGAGAACACTAAAACAATGAGCTATCTAATCTTAGCTGTGATTACGTTAGCAAGGCCAACGAGGCTATCATAGAGGTACAGACAAGGCCACCCCTATCACCACGGTGCCAGTGTCATCAAGCAGTACCAATTTCCAAAGCTGAGGCAGACCAAGTTCCTGCCCTGGACTCTACTAAGGCCACAGCCGGTCTGAAGTTCAGGGAAGGACCAGACTGGTTTTCCCCAATTTGTCTTTTACCCCAAACCCTTCCTTCCCTTCCACTGCTGCCTCCATCGAACAAACCTCCCACCACAACCATTTCTGCTAACTTCTCTGTTTAGAAGATGGAAAAGAAGGACCTGTGTGAGTTATCAAGTTATCTGGGATGAGGAATTTCCCCAACTCTCAATCTGAAGGATTGACATCTGTTGTTACTGATTCTCTCAGGAAGCCTTCTCTTATAAGTTTATCTCTTTTCTGCCCCCAGATAAAGGGCCTCTGCCTCACTGTTCTTCTAGGGGACATACCACCAACCCTAGAACCACACCTCTCCCTGAGGCCCTGCAAATAAAGATGAAACAATAAGATGACTGGACTAAGTGGCTTTATTAGAGAGAGCCCGGATTACAAAAGATTTAAGAGTTGGCATTGGGTCCCTTCTTCTTGCCAAAAGTGGGCACAACATTGACAAAGCGCCGATTGTACTGCATCCGCCGCTTGGCCCGGCCTGTCTTCTTCTTCTTCTTCTCCTGTTTGGCCACCTGGGAAAAGGAAGGGCTGATGAGACCTTGGCTGACCTCTTCCACACCTGGCATCCCTTCCCTCAGGCTCAGTTCCAGGGAGGGAGAAAGCGGACCAGGCAAAAGTCATCAGTCTTGGCTTAGCTGTGATAGGAAAAAACAAAGTCCAAACACCACCCCTAATATTCTCACTCACCTTAGGAGTCTGACCTCTCACTTTCCCAGCCCGGGCCAGGGAACCATGAACTTTACCTGTGGGAAAGGAGGGAAGCAGCAGATAAAACAGCAAGAAGCCACCACCCGGTAGAATCCCCCCTCCCTCAGCTCAAGCCTTTAAACACAGGCTGGGCCCAACAGGGAATGCGAACAAAGTTGCAAGATTTGACCTGTGACCAAGTTTCACATCAGGATTTTCCAGCTCCTGACTTTAAACAAGAAAGGAAGAACACCTTGGGGGTCTGGCCTGTGACTGAAATATAACTACACTCTGGCTCAGTCTTCCACGGACCTCCCAAGAGTTCATTCTGAGGGAGGGAAACAGGAAGACTCACCCTAGATTGAAGACACTGGAAAGCACCACCTGTACTTCCAGAGAAATGAGGCTAGGCTGCCAGGGCTATGCATCCCACACCCATTAGGAGTTTACACGCAGATCAAAGAGCTCTCCTCCCCCACTCACCTCCAAGCATGCGGCCGGCTACTTCCAGAGTGGTCAGGGCCTCCACGCCACACTGGCCCAGGGTAGCCTCATCCTCCAGGGGTGTGCCTGCCAGGAGCACGACTTGATCTTCCGGGGCGATGCCTTCCAGTGAAGATACATGAGCCTACGGGGAAAAACGAGGTCAAAAGTGTTCCCGCGGGGCCCGAGGGTGAGAAGTACAACAGGGTGTAGAGTCCAGGGACTATCACGCGGCCTTACCTTGATCTGGGCGACCGTCTCCTGGCCCGTCACCTCGAGGGTGTGTAGCTCCTGGGCGCGGACAAACAGCTGCATGTCGGCGACTGAAGGAAGAAGGAAGGCTTGTTAGAGAAGAAATGCTCTGGAAGAAAGGGGGTCAGGAAATAGAGAGTGTCCCAAAGACGATCGCGCCGGGATAGATGTGGTCGCGGTGTCTCACGTGCGTGAGGCCGGGTCTGCCAGGGAGTTCGGGTAGTGACCGCAGCCAGCGCTACAGAGCAGCCCCTGTTCCCCGATTTCCCCCGCGTCCTCTGACCTCGCGGCCAACCTGCTACTAAACCCTCCGACGCAGCCGTGGCCAAAGTCTTACCTGAACCGCGGTCACCGACACCGACACCGACACCGACACCGTGAAGATGGAATCGAGAAAGAGGAAGAAGCGAGGGCGCGCACGTCCTCACCGTCTGCTGCGTGCCACGTCACTGCTGAGCGACCGCGCGGACCCTAGGTGTTTGTACGGCCTGCGCGTCCTAGCCCCGCCTCTTTGACTTCGCGCAGGCGTCCTTTCGTCCTGGGCGGCGCGCGCAGAACGGGGCGGGATCGGGCTGGTTGCGCGCGCAAGAGGCTAGCGGGGGTGGTGGGCAGTCCAACATGGCAGCCATCGTGTTCCGGGCTGCGCTGCGGGGCTGGATAACCGGCGTCCAGCCGGGCTGCGGCCTACGGTGGCTGGTGAGAGCGTTGAGCCTTGGGTTGAAGGCAGAGGGCTGGGGGTGAGGCTCACTAGCATTCATTGTAACCTTGAAAACCACATTCCTACTTGGAACTTGAGTTTTTCCGTCTGTTCGGGGGCACTTGTCTCGATTGAGAGGGAAGGTGACAGAGGCTGGAGCGCGCTCTGGGAGTGTGGAGGTTGGAGTCTGGCTGCAGGCCAGCCCCGGTTAGTCAGGACTGAGAGGAGCTGCACAGCGGCTCTCGCTGCCTCATTTTTCGAAGGGGAAACGCCACAGGGTAGGGGGCCGGCCCTAGATCATGGGTGGCACTTTTGGGAACCCAAAGCTCCGATATGCAGGCCACTTCATCCTGCTTCCCTGCTCTCGTAACCCCGGGCTTATCAAGATTCCGCAGTATCTATTGGGAGAAGTGTCCAAGAAGGATCTTTAGGCTGGAGAGTGGGCGGACAGACTTCAGACTGTGATCTTAAATCGTTTGTAATTATTTTTTAATGCTAGTCATTCTTGGCTGTAAAAAAAGGGGGTAACAAAATACCTAACTTGTCACGTTATGAGAATTAAGTGGAAACAGTGCTCATAAAGCACTTAGTACAGTGCCCCGGGGTGTCTATATGAGGCTAAAACTTTCCAGATCAGGGACGGGATCCCATCTTCTAAGTGTGAGTGGGTAACGATCATGATCGCTTAGAGTGCCTAATCTAGAATTAGAGTGTTTCAACACAATGTTTAGAGCAAGCTTTTATATACCGAAAAATGCCATATTGGTCAGTCTTAAAGTTAATCGGCTTTTCGGAAGCATACGCATACTTCTCGTTTGAGTCCCACAGAAATCCTAAGAGAGGGAGGCTGTTCAGAGTGCCTGAGCTTATTTTCCAGTCCTACCTGAACCCTGCACACTGTAAACTGAAGTCTGGTGCTTTCCTATCTCCAGCCTTTTATTTATGCCATTCTCTGACTACTGTAATGTTTTCCTTCTCTACATACTAAGGTTCTCATTCTGTGTTGGGTGGGCTAATGGAGAGATGGTTTTTTTCTTTGTTTTGCCTCAGAGCCAGACCCAGGGGCCTCCTGATTACCCCAGCTTTGTGGAGTCTGTGGATGAATACCAGTTTGTGGAGCGCCTGTTACCCCCTACCAGCATCCCCAAACCCCCAAAGCATGAACATTATCCCACCCCTAGTGGCTGGCAGCCTCCCAGAGGTGAGCTAGATAACGGTGATAGTTTGAAGGCTGCGGGGAAGCATCCCCCTTCCCAGTGATTGGCCTGCCCCAGCTGAGGCTCTGGACTCCCCAGTGGAGATCCCTCAGGGTCAGCATCTGTCTCATGCCCAAGGAAGAGCCTGGGAGTGGAGCCCTTTGTTTCACTGGTACCCATCCATTCATACTATTGGGATGCAGTCTTCCCATATGGGCAAAAATGAAGCAGAGTGAGAAGACCTCCCTTCCCCCACAGCAGAGCATAGCTGAGAACACAGATTGTGAGTCAGGTAGTTCTGGGTTTGAATTTGGCTCTGCTATTCACTATCGGTGTGGCCTTAAGTTAGAGGGACCCAGAGATCCAGGGAAGCATGGCCCTGATGTCATTTCTTTGTGAGCACCTACTTGGTACCAGGGTGAGCACTTCGGTTGTGACTCTAAAATGAAGGAAAGAGGAGATCCTTTGACCTGAAGTCTGCAGGTGGCTTGGTCCATTTGGATGCACTGACCCTCTGCAAACTCTGAGGGGAAGGGCCTTGGATGAGGTGGGACAAGGCCTAGGGAGAGTTGGCTTATCACTATCTCTCCCTGTCACAGACCCCCCACCCAATCTGCCTTACTTTGTGCGGCGCTCTCGGTTGCACAACATCCCTGTCTACAAGGACATCACACATGGCAACCGTGAGATGACTGTGATCCGGAAGGTGGAGGGGGACATCTGGGTAAGTGGATGGGTGGGTAGGGATCTGGTTATGACCCATTTAGGGTCAAAGGGACAGGAGTCCTCTAAAGGGGAGGAACTCTTGGCCAGACCTGATTTGTCATCTCCCCCTCCAGGCCCTGCAGAAGGATGTGGAAGATTTTCTGAGCCCACTGCTAGGGAAGACACCCATCACCCAGGTCAATGAGGTGACAGGTACCCTGCGGATCAAGGGCTACTTTGACCAGCAGCTCAAAGCCTGGCTCCTGGAGAAGGGCTTCTGAGGCCCAGCTGAACAGCCTGCATGACAGCATTCCCCACAGACTGGAGCCCGGGAGACCTGAGGAGGAGGATGTTGCAGCCTCTGGGGCAGCCAATAGAGACCAGGGCTAGGGGCTTGGGCAAGGCAGAGTGTGAGGGCTAAAGAGCTTCCAGGTCAGGCGTCGCTTGCATAAAAGGGGAAACGGGACCCTCTGCACTGGGAGAGGGCTGTCTATAATTGGAGACCCTCTGGGAACAGCCAAGCTAGTGGGGATCATTGACCACCCACCCACCCCCATTTGGCCTATTCCTGCTTTCCTTTCATTAGAACTCCTGGGGCTCCGCTACTCTAATTCTAGGGGTTGTCATCTGGTGGTAGAAGCAGTAGCCCAACCCAGTATAGGAGGGCAGCACAGGGCACCCCTAGGCTCTTTCTATCTGATGGAGAAATATGAGGTCCAGTCCGGGTCCCTGTTTCATTCCAGACCAAACTTGGGCGTGATTGGGTTTCCAGCTCCAGGGAGTTAAGTGTGGCCTGACCACAAGAGGGTGCCTGGGAGCTCCTAGCAGCCCAGCGTAGGGCCTTCTCCCCAGCCTGCTGACCTGGAATCGAGGCTGGACAGGAGTTTGCAGACAGGAAGATGCTGGCCTTTTGCTCCTGCCATCTAACGCCACCCCCAGCCACTAGCCTTCACTCTTGCCCCGTTCTTGGAGTCACAGGAGCAAAAGTCCTGAGTTCCCACATGCACTCCAGCATCAGACTGGCTAAGACAGCATTCAGATACTGGCTCCCCTACTTCGTCTCTGACCTAAGGCACTACTGAACCTCTCTGGGGCTCAGTTTCTCCGTATGTAAAATGGGTGTATCTTTCCAGTTGTTTAATAGTGTCCCCAAGGACAGTGCTGGCTTACATGTAAACCCTCACTCTTGGAGATTCCAGACCTGTCTCAACTCTACAGCCTCATCAAGGAAAAAGAGCCCAACACACTGGTCCTATGACACAAGCCCCACCAATTGTTAATGCAAGTTTTTATTTGGCCGTATATACAATTTAAGCTATTAAAATTTGTACAATATTTACAAATTAAATAATCATCTGAAACGGTCTCCAGCAACTCTTGTAACACAAAACTGAGGGAAAAAAGACAGGAGCAGGCAGGCTTCGGCTCCTGTGGTCCCTACCTGGCCCACAGCCTTTGCTAAACTGGAAAGACCAGGAGCCTGACACTCCTGCTCCTCTCTCCAGGGGTTAAGCATTCAAATTAAAAAGACAAAATTTAAGCCAAAAGACACTAGTGTCTTTTAAATTCTTCTAAACTCAAGAAGAGTTCTGTAAGTTAAGAAGTAGCCTTCCTTGGATTGTGGAGTTTGCAGTGGCTAAGGAACAGGCACACTGACCCTCAGCCTGGAGTGCGGCTGGGCAGTGGCTGCTGGGTGAGATGGGATCAGTCTCACCTGAGAAGCCGCAGGGAGAAAGGGGCCTGGGGGGAGGGGCGGGGCAGGGTCCCTCAGTGCTGCCCGCCTGCCCCCCCCACCCCAGGCACTCCTTTCCCTGAGTTGTGTGGTTGCCAGTAAGACATGGAAATGCCATAGGGCATAGGGGGCACAGCCACCACCACAAGGGGCTTCTGGGGAAATTAGGGTAAGAAAAGGAAATCGGTACCAGTCTTGGCGGGTAGGCCAAGGAGCAAGTTCCTGGCCTGCCTCCAGCCCTCTGGAGTCCACACTTGGGAACGGGAACTAATACTGTTCGGCACTGCAGTGACTCTGCTCACACAAGTAGGGCTTGGAGGGGCTGTCCCTTCTCCCAGGGAGGGTTGGGGGAGGAAGAGGGCTTCTCAGAGGCTGAACCTTCTGCCTTCCTGGCCCCAGCAAACACAGGGCTGAAGAGTTGGAGAGAAAGGCTGGAACTGACCTAAGATCCCCACAGCTGCCCTGGACTCAGGGCTGCAGTCAGCTGGGAACTTGGGCCTTCTTCCATTTGGCCTAGGGGATGCCATCACCTCTTTCTCAGAGCTGGGGGGTACTACTCCCTGTGCAGACAGAGAACTGGCACTTGGTGGCAGGACATGCTCCAGCGAGGGCTGCTCAACAGAGCGGGGGCAGAGGCCAGGACTGGGGCAGTGTCAGTGGGCAACTGGAGACTCCAACTTTTGCAGGCGGCGGCGGCGGAGCTCAGCAGCATCAGGCTCTCCATCCTCGGGCAGCTCCTCAGTGCCCACTGACTCAGGAGCTGGGGACAGAGGTCAGAAGTGGAACCCAGAGGAGACCCCTGCTCCACCCCCTGTAGACTGATCACACCTACCTGGAGGCTTTTCCCTTTCAGGGGCTGGTGGGGAGGCCTCTGGGGAAGGGGTGGTGGCCTCGGAGCTGGGGATGCTGGTGGAGGAGGCAGCAGCGACAATTGTAGAGGCAGTCTCCTCAGTGGGGTTGACTGCAGTGGCAGGTCGGGGGGGCCTAAGAGAAGGGACAAGAGGCAGGCCTGGCCTTGGCATCCTGGGTTGGGCAGATTCTCCTGCGCTTGGTGAGCCTTGCAGGACAGAGTCTAAATGTGCCCGTGTGGTCCTAGTGACCAGCAGACAGTGAACACCTGTTATATGAACTCTTAGATGGGGCTACTCAACTCAAGGGCCAAATGGTTCTATCCCATAGATTGTAAACTGCTCGCAAACAGGGACTGCTGTCCTGTTCACTGTTACCTGGCAGCCTCCACCCTGCGTGTCAGGCACCTTATAGGATACCCACTGAATAAATCACAGAGAACCCAAGACTGTGCTGTTGTTGCTGGGAGCCAGGTACTTTGTACCTGTCACCTACGAATAGGAACTAGAACCCTTCTATTCAAATAAAATAATGGAGATCACAAAGCAAGTGAGGGGTGAGACCAGAACTTGAACTTGGGCCAGGATGGGTCCAACTGACTATTTGCTCCCTCAGTTCAGGGTCAGTGATTCCCAGTCACAGTATCACCACGTCAGGAGGGTGTTATGAATTAAAGCATTGAGAATTATGAATAATTTGAGGAATAAGATTCAAAGTCAGCTCTCTAATAAACATCACTCCTACTCAGATCAAGACATGCTTTCTGGAGTAGGAGGATAAAAATGGCACCAGAAGTCACCAAGAACTCCCTGAGACCCTGGATGGGCCGCAGATAGGTGGCCTGAATTGGCAGGTGCCACAGGGTAGCAGGGGGGACAAAGGCCAGGAACCACTGTTAGAGACCTCCTCTTGGCAGCTGCTCCTCCAGCCCATCCCTCCTCCCCATGCAGACGCACCCCAGGGAGGCCAGCACAGTGAGGTACTGGTTGATCTGCAGCATGGCAGCGTCCAGCAGCGTGTGGATGTTGCGCAGGCTCTGCAGCCGGGCCTCTAGGTGCTGCCGCTCGTGGCCCTCCAGAGCCCGCAGCTCCTCTGGGGTCAGCCCGGCGAAGCCCGCAGGGGGCACAGGCATTGGAGGGAAAGCTGGAGAGAGGGAGAGGCTCAGTCGGAGCTGCCTGGACCTGACACCACCCCAGCCCCCCAGAACAACCCAGAAAGTGGCCCAACTTACCAAAGGGTGGAGGCAGGGGCATGCTCATCCAAGGAGGAGGGAAGGGGAATCCTGGGGCAGGACCAGCCTCTGGGGCAGGGGCAGAGCCAGGTGCTGGGGAAGAGGCAGCAGCAGCACTGGTGCCAGCAGCTGTGGTTGTGGCTGCTCCACTGGGCCGAGAAAGGGCTGCTGAAGAACAAGAAGTCAGTGAGTGTCCCTGCACTTCTGGTTCCATCCCTGCTACCCGCTAGCTGTCATAGTATCCAAAAGGCTCACCTGCGCCGGTGGAAGGAGGGGCCACAGCCTCTCCTGAGCTGGGAGGAGGTGGGACAGGTGGAAAGGGGCCCATGGGGGGCCACAGTGGGAACATGCCTGGAGGAAAAGGAGGCAGGAGGCCCTGGGGGACTGCAGAGAGGACAGGGTGGTAAGAAAATGGCCAGGCTGAGATCGACCCAACTCCCAGGCAGGGGGTTTGGCTATCAGGGGCTCTGTCCTCTGTTCCCCCAGGCCCCCAAGCTCAGCACTAGTTACAGTGATTGCAATCATCTATTTCTCATCTTCCCCACCCCCACACCCCCACTCAGATTGTGAGATTCTGGAGGGCAGGTGCTCAGTAAGGGTTTGTCGGGTTATTCGAGGCACATGTCCCATACCCAGTCCAGGGCAAGTGTGTTGGATGGCCAAAGCAGGGGACACTCACAGTTGGGGGGCTGGGGCAGGAGTGGTGGAGGATGGGGGGCAGGAGGTGGCCCCTGATCAGCAGGCTCAGGGGGCGGTGGTGACTGGACTGGCAGAGATGCCCGCAGGACATCCATACGGCAGGTAGGGCAGGTCTGCTGCCGTTGGAACCAGGAACGCAGGCAGCTGGAGGTCAAGACCAGATATCGGTCAGCCCAGGGGCCTGCCTCCTGGGGCTTGTGCCCTGGTGTGCTGGCTCCCCAGGGCCCCTACCACCTTGTATGGAAAATGTGGTTGCAGGGCAGTCTCTTGGCACCAGTCACCATCTCCTCGCGGCAGATGATGCAGACATTGTCCATTGCTTGGAGTTCCTCTGGGGTGGCATCTGGATACCTGGTTAGGATGGCAGGGGACATATCAGGACCAGAGCTGGAAGCAGGGGGACCCAGGGCAGAGCTTGGGAGAACAGCCAGGACAAGCCTACTTACAGTGTGTTCATATTGCGGATGGCTCGGCGAGACATGATGGCATCTGTCACAGCTTTCTTGAACTGTCTGAAAGGACAGTCAGTGAAAGGAGGTGTAGGGAGAGGAGGGATGAGGCCAGGAGGGTGGAGGGACAGGGCTAGGCTCACCTCATGGCCAGGTACATAGGCCGGATGGCAAAAAGTGGGAAGGTGTGCACTTTGATCATGATGGTCATGAAAGCCATGTACAGCAGAACCTTGATGAAGCCTGGGGCAGGGCAGGGGGGTAGAGAGCAGCAGGTCAAAGGGTCTGGAAGGCAGAGTGGGGACACTAGTCCCAGTCAGGAGAGGCCCAGGCTCCCCTCACCTGTAAACAGCTCTGTGTAGAGCATGTACACAGCCTTGTTGTCCCAGGGGTTCTCGCTCTGGAGGTCCACCGAGTGCAGCACATACTTGATGAAGATGGTGAGCACCATAGTCATCAGGATGGCGTACTGAAGGGAGAGGGGGATGAGGGCAACGTGAACACACAACTCACTCTTGCTCCGCTACACCCAGGTCTGTGCAGAGGGTGCAGTGTGCGATGGTACAAGCACAGGCCATAGACACAGCCGGGGTCCTCCTAGCTACTTCACTTACTTATCTGTGACGTTAGGCAACTCACTGAACCTCAGTTTGCTTGTCTGTAAAATAATAGAATGAACTGTTCCTTTATTACAATGTTGTCTGGCTAATTAAGAGATACAGGTCAGAAACACAGGGCCAGCCAGGCAGTAAGCACTCAACAAACATGAGTTGTCACTGAACACACTCTCCCTCTGCCAGGGACACGCCTTCCCAGTTGTCCGTCGAGATAATTCCCTCTTTCCATCAACAGCCAGCTCTGGCATCAGTCACCAGGAAGCCTTCCATGAGCCCCAGGTTGAGCCTCCTCCTCCACACTAGCCTCTCTTTGCGCTCTTCCCCAGTCACCGAGGAGCATGTGGAGGGCAGGGGCTGTGTCTCACTGATCATTGTTCCTTGGTGGCCAGCACAGGGTTGGCCAAATAGCAGGTGCTCAGTAAGGGTTTGTCGGGTTATTCGAGGCACATGCAGTGCCACCTCAGGCTTGTCTCCCCAACCTCCCAAGCCAGTTTTACCTCAAAGCCAAACACCAGCTGCACCGAGGCCCCACGGGTCAGGATGCTGTGATAGGCGTGGCTGACGAAGAGGAAGTCCAGGATACCCAGGAGGAACATAAGGGCTGTGGGGACCCCCCAAATGGGGGGTGGGTGGGGTCAGCCCAGGGCCTGACAGCCACTTCCTGCTCTAGGACAGCTCCACCCTCAAGCCCACCGTGGCCCCAGCCATCCAGTCACAAGGGCACACACCACTGAACTTGGCCCTCTGGGAACTCCAATTTTGTCGGGGTTGGGGTGGGGGTGGG